CGCCACCCTCGTCGCCATCGTAGTCTCAGGCGCCTTGCGCGCACCACCTTTAAGCAGCCCGAGGGTAAGTACTCACAGCGCCTCTCAACAATGTCCCTTGACTCACCACTACTGCTGGGCCCGGTAACGGACCACAATTCTCCGTCCCACCGTCAGCGTACGTGCGTCACCGGCTTCACGGCCGGTGACGATCGTGAGGTAGAGCTCGGCGCATTTTTGCATGTTTAGCGATGTCGCGGTATACTTCTGTGAGGACATCATGCTCGCGTAAGAGGAAGTTGAAGAGCGTATCCTCACGCGCTTCAAGCTCACTATACGGCCATTTGATGTCAAGGTCAGGACGCTCTCTGGGTGACTCTGCAAGCGCTTCGGGCGTTGCCCTCGAACTCGACCCGCGTGCGCGCGGTAGTATGCGCAGCCTAAACGTGGAGCATGAGCCTTGTCTGACGGCCGGGGGCTGTAGATCCGGCGAGGCGGATGAGATGGTAGATACAGTGTCGAACTGCTCGGGAAGACTAGTAGAAACGGCAGGAGTGAGTAGTATGGTGTTTGAACCGGCGAGACCTCGGAGGCGAATAGACTCTTGTTTCTGGCCAGATCGGGCCAGATCGACGACTACGGCAAATTGTAACGCAGATAGTCAGCTCTGACTTGAACAATAGATTTCGAGAGTTCCCGAACGTACCTCGGTCTCCATTGTAGGCGGCTACTCTGCCTGCCCCGCGCCTCCGTCTGACTCTCTCCCTTCGTAAAGCAGCTTCGAAGAGCGACCGCTTGAATGATGCCCATTTCCCTGCTAACCGCATCGATGGGTGGATAGCAATGCTGTACACTGGCGCATTCAATCTTGCGAGAACCTCCTTTATTGTCCCTGCCGCATTCAAAAGAGTTGGCGCGCACAGGTAACGCGGTGAAGACAGGCCCGATGGCAGTCTTCAATTTAGCTCAGGTGTACTGCGTCTGCCTACTACCAGTAAAAGGGAAGACCGCGGGAGAGCGTGTCTTCTGCAGCTTGGACTATCACCAACGACAACGGCTCGAATGCTCGAGCGCGCTCTTGGGGCGGCGAGTGTGCGAAGTTCAAAATGACCATCGCAGGATGGTGGCATCGCAAATCGAGGGAGTTGAACACTGCTGATGCATTTTTCGCGCCGGTATCATCGTGACTTCCTGTTCGAACTTCAAACTCTCCGTGCGCGATGTTTAGCGCTGACATGGACGCTGCCGGGAAGCATTGGAAGGTCGCACCTCACGGAAGAGGACCATAATGGTGCGGTGTGCGCGTGCACGCGGTCACTATGCAGCTCCTCGATCTAAAACGCGAGCGGCACACCATCTGGCATGTCAAGGGTAAGCGCGTATGAAGCCAACTATACAAACGACGGGCGCACCGAACATTGGTGATGGGCAGTCACCACAAACATGACATGATGCAGCATCAGCACGAAGGTTAATCGACGGTGGTCCTTCGTTCCTCTCAGCCGCGCAATATCGGTGCACACCACGGGGCGCGATTCTACCAGCTCTCCGTATCATCCAGCGACAGGAGCTCCACCTTCAAAATTGCGTCCCGCTTTACCATGTTCATCCACGCCTTCTTCAACGTCATTATATCAAAGCCAGACGCAAACAAAGCGAGCTGTGAATGTGATTGATAATCGTGCACATTCTCGCTTTTGAAGTGAGCCGCGAGCGCGCCGGCCTGCATGGGCGTGGCAGGCTGGACCTCGGCATCCTTCTCCACGCAAAGGCTCACATAGCACTTGGAAATGGTCGTATTGACAGTGAATCACGCCTGCCGTCGTGGTCCTGGGAGTCGGAAGTAGCGGCAATGATGAATGCCGCTATCGTCCCGCAAGCGAAGTCGGCGGCGCAGAGGGATGTGATGAGCCGAATAGCATTGAGTGATTCCTCAGTAAGCTCGAGCGTGCGCGTACGACGGAGAGGCTATCTCCGCTATGAGTTCCGTCATAAGTTTGCGTGCCGGTAATGTGTGATGTTCCATCGGGGCTCCGCGTCATCTTCCGCCTGCTCTATGGTGGAAGACTGGATCTTGCGCTCGGCGACGATGAGAGCAACGCGGTCGTCTTTTTCGAGCTCGAGCAGGGAACGAGCGCTGCACGGTAGTGAACTGCGGGGCGCATGTGAAGCGGAAGCTTATCGTCCGCATCCCTCTTAAGCTGTTTGACGAGCCTATGCTTCTCGAACACTCGCCCATCGGGTACTACGAGCGCAGCAAGACGCTTGCTCGAGACGACATAGAGAACCGTCCACACTCCGGTGCTCATGGCACTCAAGACCGAGTCGATCTGTCAAAACCGTCAACAGACGTCCGCGTCGACCAGCGCGTTTATTGTCAATCACGCACCTCGCTGTGCCCGACACGCAGATCACCGAGCCTGGCCACTTTCCCGCACATACCATTCACCACACGAGCACAGTCCCCGCCTCATGTGCTCGTCCCCCTCCCGGCACTTTCACGACCACACGTGCCGTCTGCTCAAGATTATCAAGATGCCTGTGGCCCATTCAATATTATACTACATATAACTCAGAATATTAAGCTCGCCTCTTCGCCAGCTGAATATCAGTGACAACAAGTTCATCCGCACACGCAAGCAGTGTGGCGCGGTTCCAGGTGGGGTAAAGAACAAGCATGCCAGCTATGGGAAGCGCCGGGGCAAGGCGCGCGCTCGACACCTGGTGTGGGTGGGCGCGTAGCATGTCGTCGATCGTCGCCTCAGTCGAACCCTACAATGATTATTAGCGAGGCAGAGGATGTGTCACGGCAGCGTATACGCACGTAGGCGTTATATAGCGCAAAACTGAGAAGAGTAAACTCGGCAACGGCGCAGTCGCTCAGCTCCTTTCTCATCATCCAGAGCTCGCACTTGTGCCGGACGTCATCTACTAGACCGTACGTTTCTTCGCGTAAAGTAGCTACAGATAAATGAGCTTCCTGAAAACGATCGCTGGAGTCTATTACACCAATAAAATCATATCCAAGCACAGATGCATTGCTCGACGTCGCTCTCATGTTTGCCGCTCCCATTCAGCGGGAACTCTGTCCGTATCACTCAAGACGAGTGGGCTGTTGGCACTCAGAAGTGTTCGCCACCAGCAAGGGACATGGAAATACATCAGGACCGGCATCGCACCGAGCGGAAGGGATGATTGACAAGAACTCGAAGGTAGCGGTTGTGAAGTGGAGACACCGCGCGGCTATATGGCCTCGGCGCATACTCGGATGAACGTTATCCGTCGGGCCATAGGTGAAGGGAACTACAACGGGTCTCAGCCACGTCCCGTTTAGATTCATGAATGTTGACAACGCACCACGCGCGAGATCACGGAGAATCTGAAAGTTCGTGCTCGCAAGCCTCCTGCGCAACACGCACGTTGATCCACTGAACGTCATCGACGAGCCACCTCGACCACGCATTGACAGCGACAACCGCTGTGGCCGCAGCATCTCCAACACATTCAAGTACACGTATCAACGGAGCGCTGATGAGAGTGTTGAGAGGCGCCTGCCGGCGTGAGCTATGCCTAAGTACGCAACGTGTATGTCAGCGCTTGCGAGAGCACAAAACGAGCAAAGTTCTTGCCAGGACTAGATAAACCTCAGAAAATCTCAGAACGATCAGCGGGGCATTATTCGCGAACGTCAGCATCGCAGAGAAAAATCCAGGGCGGATCGACTCCGGACGTGCAGGTAATGGCAGACTTGCATTGCAAGCGGCCGCAAGCGATATACCATAGAACAGCGTATGAGCTCGTGGTAGACGGATGTGAATAGAAGAGGGGCGCAACACGCATGTGAAGAGGGGTCGGAATAGTCTTGCCAAGGACCGCATGCCACGGGCACGAGTGTTCGGATGTGCGCATATATGTGAAAGAGCGAGTAGACGTTCGCAGTCAAGGGGAGACATGAGATAGGCATATGCCAGCCTAATAATTGGGCCGCGGCAGCCAGCAGACGCTGCGCGTGCAGAGATCGTGGTCATGGTCGCGGACGAACATCTGCGGAAGAGACCAGGGAGAACGGGCCGAGACGGCAGATGCCGACAGCGATCCGAGGTGCGGCGCGCGTGCTGCTTGATAGCAC